TTTTTTTTTTAAACAAATTCCCAAATAATACAGTGAGCTTTAGCAGAGCTATTCATAAATGTTGGAAAAAAGTGCCATCTACTTTCTGTTATATTCCTTTATGTTTGCATATCAGTAACTGTGAAGCTATATTGTAGAATATCTAAAATATTTAATTAAACTCTGATCTGATTTTGAGACATATCATTTCCTAATTTTATAGCTCATAACCTTGCATGAAACTATACATCCTTGTGTTGGAATAAATTTTTTTTTTTTTAAATTCACTGATACTTTCCCTTCACCTTTTTAAAGCATCCTTCCATGGCAATTATAAAGGGAGCTGGATTGGTTATGAAGGCAATAATAGAGGTGAGAGCAATTTCGAAATTTTAAACTTAAGTGTTGATTGACGTCTTAATTGAAAATCACAAAATTGCCTTTTATGGGAAATATGCTATACTCTGGGTAAGAAAAGTAATTTTAACTCTCCAGTCAGATATTAGTTTTAAACTAGTTGAAGAAATGATCCTCAATAATAAAAAAAAAAGAGAATTTTAAATTCTTTAGTAAGTAGGGTTATTTATAAAGCAAATAAATTTTGTTCTTACATTATTTGTTTTATTTAAAAGAATTAAAAGTTAGCTTTCTTTTGTTCTTTCACTGGGTGATGATAATGAAGGTCTGAAATCTTGAGGTACTGAGATTACATAGAAATCTGTTATTTGAGTTAGAGCAAGGTGATAAACTTCTTGTGGTAAAATGCATTTTAAATGAAATTCTAGATACCAGGATTTGATATTCAGGTTATAAGATATTACTTCTCAAATAGTTGCTTTAGCCTTGCATTTAAAAAAAATTTAAAAAAATAATCATGGTTATAAATTTCAAGCACATAGTATGATGTTTACAATGACATCAATCTCAATGACTTGAATTTTTGTATTCTTTTGTTGTCATTATGTAGCAATTTGGGTAAAACATAAGAGTGTTTTGTTTACCAAGAAGGGGGAAAAGAAACTCGCTATTGTGATATATCAGTATAGCTCAGAATGAAATAAGAAGCACAGAGTTAGTATGTCCTTAGACATCTGTTGAATTTTTTAAAAAGGCATCAAACTGGTTGGAACATCAAAATTTATTTGCATTTTCAGTGTGTATATACTACTAAGGGCTAATTTCTCCCCTCTAGTTATTGGGTGTTATGCTCAGTTTTAGCTTTCAAAAGTAAATACCCCATCTAAGTTTGTGGTAGCCAAGGAAAGTTAGGCCCATGCAGCCAACCAACATGTTGCCATTCATATAATACATGCAATCCAATTATTCATTATATACAAAAATATTTGTTTAATACTAAGTATAATCAAAATGCTGACTTTTGACTTCAGGTACAAACCACACATATTAGATTCACATCTGGTGATTTCTGTGGAAAAGACTATTTATACTTAAATCCTGGCAAATTTTCTTTTTTCAAATTATAAAAGCAATCTATAATCTTGGAAGAAAAAAATCAAGATGTACAGAAAAATACAAGGGTTAAATGAAAATAAATCATCCACATTTTTACTACCCAGTATCATTTCTATGAGTATGTTAGTGAATTTCATCTCAGACTGTATGTGTACTGTTAAAAATGGTATATGTACATATTTGTGTACATACTACATGTTCATGTGGTAAAATAGTACTCGGTACTAACATGAACATTTTTACCTTTTGATAGATTATCTTAAATTGTTATACTACTGCTTATCTAATTCATAGTTCTTTGATTAATAGTCCTATTTATCTGTTTGCCAAAGTGAATCCATATAAACAAAGTAAAATCAAAATAAAAACAACTACCCCAACATCACATCATCCTTTAAATAACAAAAGCAAGCCAGGTTTGTATATGCCTTTGATAGGAATTGCTGGTTTCTTCCTTGTTGACTGATAGATATTTAGGAATTAACCTAATTTTAATATTAATTTTAGAAAAGTATAATTTGTAAGGTAATTTATCTGGTAACATTTGAACCTGATTCCAAAGCCACATTGAATCTTAAAATGTCATCTTTCTGGTTTATTTTTGGGTAATTAGAAATAATAATAATTATTATTATTACTATTATTATTATTCTAAATAATTATTTTGTTTAAAGTTGTAATGAACTTTTGTTTAAAGTTTGTAATAAAGTTGGGATAGCTCGTTCTAGATTTCTGCTTTAGGGATCATCTTACCCTTTTTCCAAAGGAAGGTGACAAAGAAATTGCTACAAAAATGCAGGAACTTGCCCTAAGTGAAGGTGCCTTACCTCGCCACTTGCATACTGCAATGTTTACAATAAGTTCAGATCAAAGGATGCTCACAAATAGGTAAGTTATTTGATTTAATTTGCTATAAATTGCTGTTTAGAGAATGAATTTGGGTATTACATAAAACAAACTGAATTAGGTATTTGCTTATACATATGTTCCATTTTCTTTTGATTCCTATAGCACTTTTCTTTTGCTTGTAGAAGGATTGTGCCCAAGTGGTCATTGTCCCTGCCATGGATAACTTGGGGTGAGGGAACCAATTCCTTTTTTTTAACCTACAGTCCTGTCAGGCTCTTAACTCACAGTCATGGGACTGGAACATGGAAAAGAGTACTTTGAAGGCCTTTTCCCCTTCTGTTTCCTCTGACTATCTTGCATGCACATGACCCCAAAGACCCCATATGGGAACCTTGCATAAATTTTCAAATACCTTTGTTAATTTAGGTGCTCTGCTTTAAATATAAGAAATAGGAACCTTAATTATTTCAAGCCCGAACTAGGCTTATCCTAAATCTCTGTGGGTAAACAATTTCCCCTTCAGAGAATCATCTTTCTTTCAGTAAATCATTCAACTATAAGAAAACCCATAACTCTCTTCATTTATTCTGGGCAATATGAATTCCATTTCTTCAGGGGTTTTTTTTTGTGTGTGGTTCTTGATATGTGACCCTTTCAGCTATCCTAGTCATACCAGAGTATAGCATTAATAAAACACCAAATATCCTAAGTGTTTAACATATTTCAGCTAAGCAATAGCATAATTTACTGACTTATGTTTTATTTTATTTCAGTACTATAGATTTCCATTTTTTATCACCTGTGCTGTTGTGTGCTGCCTTGCCAATAGTTTTTTTATACTATTATAGAAAGCTATCTGCATAACTTAATTGAAATGCTAGCCATTAAAGTAATCTTCTGTATTGTCTGAGAAGATGGAAAGATAGGAAGGTTATTTCCTTAGTACTGCTTATTAGCAATGTTAGATCCCAACTTTCATTAAAATGTTATTTTATTCCACTAAACCCCATGTTACTTGTTTGCTTGTTGTGTTCCTTTTTATCATAATCAGTTAAATTCCCTACTGTGATCAATTAGTGTATTTAATTGGGGAAGCACTTTAATTTGGAGAAGGTTCCAAAATGTTACTAATACTTGAATTACAGTATTAAAAAGCTTTCCATTTGTAGTAGATGTACCACTTATCTTATTACTTTTATCTCTAATTAGAACCTTTTTAGGAGTCACTGATATGAGACCTACCAAATATCAGTGAAGGAAATTATAAGTGTAATTACTGCAATATGTTAGCTTCCCGATAGGCTCAGGAATGAGCAGTTTGAGTAGTATTCACTTTCTGCTGAAATAGTTTTGCTATTCATCTTTGTTCTTCTGGAAATGTTCTTCTGGGAATGTAAGATGTAAATACATACATCTGTAGATGATTATTTGGTTCCTTCCCTGATTGGCTTCATGACCACTCATAGCAAATGCCAAAGTCTACCAAGTCTAGAAAGGATCAGTGGTGAGTGAAATAGGGTTCCTGCTTCTGAGGTGTTTCCGAATTAGCAGGCAGTATTTTACATGGGAATTAAGGTTAATACCAAACCACAGAGTCAGCATGGTTTTTAGATTTTCATTTTGAACCAAAATTATAGCTTTTAAGTAGAATTAGAATAATTTTCAGTAAGTGCTTTGAGTCTTTACCCATACTCCAAAAGTGAAAATATTTTTTACTTCTGATCTTGCCAAAAAGATTTTCTTAGAACATAGCTGTTGACTTTTGCTTGTGTTCATAATTTTAAAGAATGACAGAGTGCTATTTCATTGTATCATATCTTATTATATAAACTACTTGTTTTTTTTTTAATTCTTTGGGGGGGGTTTTGTTTGTTTTTAATTCTTTCTTTCTTTAAATGTTTAAATTGTTTGTTTTAAATTTTTACTTTCTTTAAATGGATAAGAACCTGTGCCTTCATGTTTAAGATTCTTTGAAAATTAGTGTAGCTATCTGGAAAGTACTTTAATTTAAAGAAACTTCCAAACTTTTAATACTTTAATTACTGTCGCAAACACCTCTCCACATTAAAATATTAATTTTTAATAATTTTTAACATCAGAGTGATTTTCTTACTGTAGCCATATTTCTTATAGTTATGTGATATTTTGTTTTTAAAAATTCCTTTCTATTCTAGCTGAGATAAAGCAGCAAACCTTTCTCAACGTCTGCTTTTTTCAGACAGCTAAGTAGACATTTAGTGGGGCTCTGGACGGCTGATAATGCAACTGCGACAAACTTGTTGAAACGCATTTTGGTAAGTCCATGAGAAACTAGAAAAGATTTTTGTGTTCCTTTCAAAAAATTTAATTATATACACAATTAAAGGGAATTTTTTTGTTTGTAATTGAAAAGGTATTTATCAGAGGACTTACCATACAGTAAGTGTTACAGTAACTGAATCATAGTGTTAATTTATTTAGGCTTTTACATCTGAATTTCCTTTTGTGCAGTTATTTGGAAAATGGATATGTGTTTTATTATTGTTTGTTGTTTTTAGCCACCAGGCTTGCTCGCATACTTGGACAGCTCAGATCCAGTTCCTGAGAAGGATGCTGATCGGATGCATGTTAGAGATAATGTGAAAATAGCAATGGTAAATATAAATATGCTTGTCCTGAGTATCTTTTCAGGATTAAGAGTACTCTAATATACTCTTCTGTGGATGACTAAATATTTAGTCAAGAACTCTGAGTTAGTCAGTTTTGCATTGCTTTGACAGAAATACCTGACAAGAATGACTAAGAGGAAGGAAAGTTTATTTGGGGCTCACAGTTTCTCAGTCCATAATCAGTTGATTTGGTTGCTCTGGGTCCAAGGTCAAGCAGAACATACTGGGGGAAGAGTGTGTATGGTAGAGGGAGGCTCCTTTCATTGTGGAATCCTGGAAACAGAGAGTGAAGGGGCCACAGGGAAGAGGTACCCTTTTAGGGTACTTCTGTAGTGACCCACCTCCTCTAGCTGGGATCTACCTGCCTACAGTTACCAACTGTAGTCCATTCAAGTTTGAATGGACTGATAAAGTTACAACTCTTACAGTCATTTTACCTCTGAACATTGCTGCATTAATACAGGAATTTTTGAGGTACACCTCATATCCAGACTACCACAAACTCATTTCATCGAGTAGTAATGTTTTTCTTTATTATTATTACTAACACCTTTTTTGAAGTAAAGTTTACATTCCATAAAATTCACCTGTTTTATGCATTGCATTAATTTTTAGTATATAGAGCTTATACAACTGTCATCAGTCTATGAATAGAATTAATTTTATTCAGTGTTTTATTTCTCTAACTCAACTTATTTTATTTGCAAATTCAGGAATGGGTTTCTTTTTTTATTTCAAATGTGTAATGTGATATTTTATACATATGAAATTACAAATGATGTTAGTGAAAGAAGTTACTTGGCACATTTTTCTTATAAGATCTATGTTAATTATTAGGTTGGCCTATCCCCAAGAAAATTAAACATCTTTCAAATCTTTTTCCTTTCTCTGTGTCATCTCCTACTTGCATGTTATTACTACCAAAAAAAGGAATTATCTTGAAACCCTAATGTTTCTTAGACAAAAAGAATAATTTATTGTAGAAATTTTTCACTTTGTTTTTCTATTTAACCCTAATATCCAGTATTTATTTTATTATTTTAAATAGCTAATGTGACTCTGCTGTACATGGAGTTTTAAAATAAATTTGTAAGTAAGTATGTAATGGATTTCAAAATTATTTTATAGGATCAGTATGGAAAATTTAATAAAGTTCCAGAATGGCAAAGACTGGCTGGAAAAGCCGCTAAAGAAGTTGAAAAATTTGCCAAAGAAAAAGTGGACCTTGTGTTGATGCACTGGAGGGATAGGATGGGCATTGCTCAAAAAGAGGTAAAAAAATATGCTTCTAAATTTATAGCATTTCTACATGTCCTAGGCCTAACTTCAGTTTCTGTTGTTCACAGTGAAGGCATTCAGATATGTCTGACCGAATACCTGAAGCTTAAAATGAATGTCACCTAAATCTGACTCATATTTTTCCTCCTTGATTAATAGTTTTGTGAATTAATGATTAGGATTTTAGTTAGGTATTTAATATAGAATTACTATCTTAAATTTT